AATATAATGTAATATAACGCAATATACAGTTATATAATATAATGTAATGTAATATAATGTAATATAATGTAATAAAATGTAATATAATGTAATATAATGTAATGTAATGTAATGTAATGTAATGTAATGTAATGTAATGTAATCCAATGTAACCTAATGTAATATAAGAATATAACATAATGTAGTACAGACAAAAATAAATAATTATGCTATAATGCACGAAGAGAAAATATGACGCATCATACTATTACATGTACGTATGTATGTAACTACGTATGTATGTATGTAAGTATGTATGTGTATGTCTGCATGTCTGTATGTCTGTATGTCTGCACGTATGTATGTATGTATGTATGTATGTATGTATGTATGTATGTATTTTTGCATTTGTGTATGACGAATGTATGTATGAGTGAATGAATGAATGAATGAATGTATGTATGTATGTATGTATGTATGTATGTATGTATTTGGGTATGTACGTATGCACGTATCACCGTATCCATGTATGGACGGATGGAAGGATGGAAGAAATAAAGGACGGATGGATGGATGGATGGATGCATGCACGCACGCATGCATGGACGTATTTATGTATGTATGTATGTATGTATGTATGTATGTATGTGCAAGATAGGTTGGATGCCCAGGTCATCGGAGGATGAGACGTCCGAGCCCATCGGAAAGTTGCAAGCTGCTGAAAACTCCATTTTCGCTTCGCGCTGGGAGCGTTTCACTCCGTACATTGCCGACGCTCTGCTGCAGTGTGTGAGTGGGAGACACCCATCAAGCTCTGACGTTTTGCCATCCAAGGAGTATTGGGGCACACTGGCCAATGTCTCAGTTTGCTCTGAGGGCTGCTATCGCCTACGGAATCGATCGGTCCAGGTTTGCCCTATGTTGACGCCTGTTGTCGTGATTCATGGAGCTCAGGTCGTGACTGCCACATTTCTGTGCAACGTTGATGTGGGCCATGGGATAGATCCTTCCTTCAGGTCCATCTGTCATGCGGCTTGGCTGCCAGGGAGAACTGTTTTGAGTCATTGACGACGTGCTCGAGTGCTCGAGATGCAGGCGTTCATGGTGGTGGGCATGGCGCGATGCTGAGAGTTTTTCTGAATCCACAGCTTGAGTTGGGCAAAGAGTCAGAGCGGGCGAGGTATCAGCAACGAAGCACGTGACGGGATCCAGTCTGAACCCGCATCCCGGCCCGAATGCAGAGGAAGCCGACCCCTACGCCCTAAACCCTAAACCCTAAGCCCTAAACCCTAAACGCTAAACCCGAAACCCTAAACCCTAAACCCTAAACCCTAAGCCCTAAACCCTAAATCCTAAAATCCTAAAACCTTAAACCCTAAACCCCAAAGCTCTAAACCCCAAACCCTAATCCCTGAAAGCCCAAAACCTGAAGCTCCAGACTCCAACTGACTTAGGTTTTAAACTGGTTCATGTTAGGGTTTAGGGTTTAGGGTTTAGGGTTTAGGGTTCAGGGAGGTTCCGAAAAGAAGGGGGTACCTTCTTTTCCGGTCCTTATAGGGTTCCTTTAAAGGGTTCCTACAAAGTTGCTATAAGGTGTGGGGGTTTGGGTATCTTCTTTTGGGGTCCTTATAATAAGGACCCTACTATAATTTTCAGAAACCCCCATGTCTCTCGATTCCGCGTACACTCGTAAACACCCTAATCCTAAACCCTAAACTGTAAACCTCTGAACCCTAAACCCGAAATCCTAAACCCTCTAAGCCCTAAACCTCTAAACCCTAAATCC